CGCGCGCGCTCGCGCTCGCGGCTCGGCTTCGCGCGGACTCCGCGCGTAACTGGTTGTTGATTAAGTTTGAATGACTGATGCCGCAAAAACACATTAAAACTTGAATGAGTACAGATGAAAATTTAGTCGCTAGGAATCAAGAGACCGCAGAGGCAAATGGCCTGGCAGCCGCACATACGCGCGGACTAAACCGCTCTCTCCTCTGACCCTCCTCTCTCTTCGTCCCGGGATCGGACGCGCCTCGGTCTCTCTGTCGTGTATCCCGATCATCGGGACACCGTTACGGTCCAGCCGAAATATAACAACGCGAAAAACACTCGGCGATTGCTATATCCGCCGGGCCGAGACACTCGCCCTCTCGGTTGACCACTGTGTAACGGAAACAACTTGCACCGATGATTTTCACCGGTGATTTTCCTCGATCTACTCCGCCCGTAGAGATGGAGCCCGTTCCATCGTGGCTTTGGTCGACAGTTGGTTTCCGTCGGAGAAAAACTATGCGCGACAATGTAGCGCAGAGTTTCTTTGAATACGCTCGTCTCTCGGTCGAAGGAAAACGAATTCAAGAAAGTTGAGAAATTTTTGTAGAAATTGGCTCCGTTCCTCGCGAGATTGAATCCCGCGATGGTCGCTCCCCTGCTATCTCCCCCCCCCGTTTGACTGGACAATCCAGTTCCAATTAACGTCACACGCAACAAAAGTTACATTACATATGTGCTCCATTACTCGTTACTACTTCTCTTAGCCAGAGATTTCCTCCTTCTCCTTTTCCTCTTTCGTTTCTTCTACAGCGCCAGAGAGGAGTATTTTCCGTTCCGCAGAAATTAGATCACTCGCGGTGAGTAATTGCTTTCTTAAAACAGGCTTATCGTTCTATCGGCGATCAAGCTTGAAAAATCGACTTCGATCTTCGACTACACCCCGTCGTACTTCCTATACATTCTCAGCTTTGCTTCTTCTTCGAATTGACAAGTTGTAGATTGCAGTCACTGACAACCGACGGAATAAATCAGCTCTCCATCTCTTAAACTACGATCACGTTTAAAGCCAGTCTCCTCCAGAGACCGTCCCCCCCTGTGTCCCTCCAGATCTAACGTCTTACCAATTATTCACTCCGATCCCCTCTTGTAAAAATCTCCTTGCATCTCTTGCGTCCTAATTGGAGAAATTCACTGGTTGAACTCGTCACTCGTGGCCAGAGATGTCGTTCCGCCTCCCATAGGGTATACACACAGGTGTATAGACGAGCAACGGGAAGGGAAAGGCAGAGAAAGACCAAATCGGGAGCACCATCCAATAGCGGTCCGAACGATCCGTCTCGTGGCCAAGGCTCTCCTTCGATTGTCGTAAAACAATTGGCTGGCGAGATTATCGCGATCGGTTGCGTCGTAAATACTTCAAAGATCGATCGGAAATCGCAAATCCAGTTTAGCGAACGATCGACGGTGGAATAGGAATGGGGCATCCATCAACGTGCGCGCAGTGGTAAAATGGTGGGAGGAGAGGCTAGGGGTAGAACAAGTGGAGCAGAGGAAAGGCTACGTTGCTCGTCAGCCAAGCTCGTATGGGATGATCGTTTCCGTAATAAAAATCGTCAACCAGATCGTAGCTCGTACGTACCGATATACCGGAGGGGGGGCCCCTTGCGCCCCACTCGCTCGTCGGCCAATCAGCTCCTCCCGTTTCGCCCGTATTTTAATGTATTCAAATGTAAGCGGTAGCAGTGTTTATGTCTTGGCATTGCAAATTGTGCCGGCTAGCCCATAACTTATAGTAATTGCTGCGCACCGGAGTAATTATTTATACGCGTGATATAGCATATAGACGTTCCCTTCTCGCTTTCTTCTCGTCCCTCTGTCTACTTCGCCTCTCGTTCGCATGATTATTCCAACCACCAGAGGTATCTGTATCCCCGGACGGTGCGTGAATTGTGAAGCGTCGAGAATATCGAGAGAAGGACAGAGGGGAAGGGGCGGAGGGGGGGGCCATCTCCCGCAGAACCCGCGATATTAATCTCGAGCCGTGCGCCCGACGAATCGGCGACTTCGATGCCTCGCGCCACAGACAAGACGCAATCCGCCGCGCAAGGAAAAACTGCTGCTCCTGCGTTTTCACGTCTGATACGTGTTGATCCTCCTGTCGAGTCTACTTTCACGTTCGAACGTAACGTAGGAACGTAACGTCCATTTATCCGGCGACGAACGAACGATCTATTCTTCGTATCTGTCTGTCGTTTTTCATTGATGAAATAATATCATACCAGCAGTTCATAGCCGGACGAGTGCATTCAATCCAATCCGCAAACGGTGTTTAGGCACGTAGACCTTGATCGCAGATGAACGCTTCATCGTCATCGAGCTTCGAGATTACACGAATAGACCGTGTAAAAAAAACATACGTGGAAATTTTGTTCCTTTTAATAGAGGATGTAACTGTTTAATTACGAAACCGAGGGTAAATGAATCTATCGCGATTTCATTGACTGTGTACTTTTCGTTGCATTTCGACGAAATTCCGACGTATCTCGTCGGGAATTGACGGTACATGTGTAAGCGTAGTTTTTGTTTAATTCAAACACAATTCCAAAAGACGCGGAATACGATGGCGTACGCGTGTATTATTTTTCCCTCGAATTGAAAATATTTCTCAATATTATATCTCCCGTCGAATATTTATAAATATTTTCTAAACAAATACAACAGGAAAATAAAAAGTAATTATCTTTTTCTGGCCTCAACAAACTCGTTCCTGAAAAAAATTTTAAAAACACGATAGTTTATTTTACCGAAGGAACACACTCTTTGGAATAACGTTCGTTTTCGTCCCTTTTTCACGTTTTTGAGTAGAAGGGAAATACAGAAAGTATTTTCCACGGCGTAAAATTTAAATGCTTCTTCCGAGCGAATCGTTCATTTTTTGAACGCTACGGAACTACTGCTGAAACTAAGCTCACTCGTGTCGCAACCATACTTACTATACTTGCTCCATCGCCACGGCAGAACTGGTATTATTAAAATGTTTTACGATACACGTGCATGTATTAGCTTTGGAAGAGATCTACTTTCAAAGTTATTGCTGCTAAATCTTGCCACGCTATTTCATTAACGGCAGTAAAGAAAAACCAGCGATAAAACGCCGACTTACCAATTAAGATAGATTCTAATTGATACGGAACAAAATTAGAACGTTGTCCAAAGAACATAGTTGAGCAATTTTTCAGAGGGGAACGTCGAGGCGAGCTACGTGGTAGTACTTTTGTTGCCGAATACTACCGTGGTGCCATCTCGACCAAAGCGGACGAACTGCTAGCCGTAAAAAAAATCGCGTGAAATTTTTTCGAAATACGTCCACCCTTTCCCCTACCATTGAGCCACCCTGGTGTAATCGATACACCTCGAGAAACTTCCAGCCGACTTACTGTCACAAAATGGACGAGTTATTCGCGTACGTGACGCCTCGGCCACGATATGTATATATATGTATATATATATATATATATATATATATATATACACACATATC